CCATCTAAGGCTAAATGAAACTGGTACGTCAAGGACATTAATCTGTTTCCATAAAAGTCAAGTGATTTTTTAAGAATATGATTACATCTAAAACCCCTTTACTAAAACTTTCATTGAAGGATTTAATTATTGTTCACAGTTAAGGGAAACAAAAACCTATCTGAACAACATCAAGCCAAACAGCTTTCCTTAATTTACGTTCCTACTAAAGAGATGGTTGCTGATTCTTTAACAAAGGCACTTGACAGTGAAAAATTCAGAGACTGCATTAAGTTCCAGGGATTCCACAAATAAGGAGGGTGTTGAAATATGATTTGTGAGAATAGTTCATTTTGGTATCACATGTGTTCTGTATAAGTTAGTTGTCATGGATACCAGATGTTGTTTTGTGAAAAGTTATGTTGTGTTTTGTATTAAGTAAAACTTGTGCCTAATACACCTTTCTCTTTATCATTCTACACAATTTAAGTCTATTTACACAATTAACACAATTTATTTCCTTTTACAACAAGTGTGAACTCACCAAAATGTATAAGATCATTGCGCGCAGAGTAGCGTCATAACGAAACGTTCTTTACTTTCTGGATAGCCCTCGTATATGTGAATTTGAACCGATGGTGTTATTGGCCTCTGGGGACCTCAAAACAAAAAAAATTAATCGGCCCCGGGTCTAGGTCTTACGATGAGACCTACGGTAAAAGCTTATTCCCTATATGGCAAATTTGCTAAAATGGCAAAATAGTTAGTTGAAAATGCAAATAAACACTCCCGAGTACTCTAAGATATGGTTTTCTGCTGTATAATGTAGTTTCAAAGGCTGAATTTAAGGGTTTGTGAGACAAAAAAGTAATAGCCTTTACTTTATGCTCTTCAGTCTAGAGCATATTAAACAAGTGTGAAGAGGTGAGTTTTTATACTGAATCACATAAATAATATCTATATAAATAAAATTAGAGTTTTGTCTGTACATTGCTCAGAATTATATGTTTTTAGGTTATTTTTACGTTTTATACATTAAAGAAGCAGAAACAAGTCTTATATCTATTTCTGTCTGTCTGCCTGTCTGTCTTTCTGTAACACTCAAGATGGCATTTTATGCAATCTTCTCCATGAAAACGAGAGTACCTATCAAGATCCAAGTAATTTTAATGTATTCACTGGATTGGGGAGAGTGTCTTTAGCCATTAAAACATGGCCTCACTACTTTGTAAATAAAATTACAGACGTTCAAAAATGCGGTTTTGTGCGATTTTTGCCAAGTTTTCGGTCAATTTTTATCACATAATCATCTATGAAATAACGAACAGCTGTTCGGATCAAGATTATTTTTTCTAGCTGTCACTGATATGTTTACAAATGTTGTTTACAAATACCGCAATCATTTCCGATTACGTTTTGAAAGCAAATCCCAAACAAAGTGACATTAAAAACGTTTTTCTTACATAACTGGTTTAATTAATCGCAAGTGCAATATTATAGTGTAAATGAAATTAAATAACTAGGAGATTATTTGTGTATGAAATTGTTCTTGAGTTTTGATAACCAGAAAGAACCCCTTGAATCAGTGTTGTATAGGACTGGGACACTTATAATGATCGTTGACAATAGATTACAAACAAGGTTTCCACTCACTGACGGCGCTTCAATGGCGATTGTGTAAAGTGTAAAGTAAAAAAATCACAACTGCAGTGGGTGATTGTAAGTAATAGAGGTATACGGATGATGCTAAACTCGCTTTTCCAATGTGTCACTCTCTGTTTCTACTCACCGTGTGATGCAATCGCTGGACCATACAGCCAATAGGCCCATAGCCCATCTCTTGGGTACGTACGTCTACCTATTTATTCATAACAACCTTTTCGATGACGATCCTTGATACCTGTACTTTTTCATGGAATCCATGGCCTGCCTACTTGAGAAATAAAGTTACAAATGTCCAAAAACCCAACGCATTTTGTCATTTTTGTCACATTCAACTGACTACTATAAGATCCCCGTGCGTAGAACGGGCACACAGCTAGTGTCTAAATAAAACAATAATCTTAAAATAAAACTATAAATTTGGAACTCTAATTCAGTCACATATAAAATTATATACCATAACTTATTTGTTATATGTGGAAATCATCTCCATTTTCAATTTTACCGTGTTTAATTAAGTAGTAAAGCCAATTTCTCTGGGTAGACTTTCCTTAAATTTAAGTAACAATCATTTCCATACAGATGATCAATCAATATTGAAAATATCTACCATAAAGTTCAATAACAAGCTCATGATAATATTTTACATCTCAGCTGTTGACCAGCATTGTTGCGAGTTGCAAATATTATGCGCTCTCTGGTTGCGACATGCTTGTCATTAGATCGCAGAATGTCAAACAATAGGATCGTCCTTGGATAGTAGAATAGATGGAAAAACATAAAAGAATGATGTCACATGTATTTAAACGTTTTTTGACAGTTGCATTGAAATAATAATACAAATATGTTTATTTTCGGGCCATTTGTTTGGATCATCGTTAAAATTTTATAATCCGTGGGATCGCCAAACATCAATTTTGGGATTTGTAGCCAAACCTGTCGCCACAAACAACTATGAAAAATCAGGCATCTATAGAATTAACTGTAACAACTGTCCAAAGTACTACATCGGCCAAACTGGAAGAAACAAAGATTTTAAGAACATATACCTAAAAGATCACAAAATCAGCAATCCAGTTATACCGAACATTTAATATCGGAATCAAACAACTACACATCTATGGATAAGAACATGGAAATAAATGAAGTATTACCCAAAAGTTTTAAGCTTGATGTTAAAGAAGAATTCACCATCTACAAAGCTAAAAAACTCGACCCATTTAACATTTTAAATTATCAGACTTCTTTCCATTCTTTGATACATATATTGACAAGCTACAAATCAAACAAGTATTAAATAAGAAGAACAAAACAAACTGAAATACAGGTGGCACTGGAGATATGAAGACACATTATGATTCAGTCACTTTTATTTAGTCAGTTACAGTGATAAGATAGTGCTGGCCAGCCTTTACAGTTTTAACCAGTTTTATGGCTTTCTATTCCATTTTTCAGTGAATTTCCCTATTAGCCCAGTCAATAAAGGGACAAAATAGTGCTTTGTCGGAAGTAATTAGTGAAAGGCTGATTTTTTCATGGATGTTAGTAGATCATATAAGGAACATTTTCTAAAAAGTCCCCGCCCCTCCCCCTCTTGCTTTCCCCCCTACACCCTTTTAAGTGTATTTGTGTAATCTTTTATCAATTTATCAATATCTCAGAAACAAACAGCAATAGAATAAATTTTGTTTCGCCATTTCAATCCTTAAAATATTCTCTACAAAAAACGTTATAAGAGTGTAATCGATATACTCAGTAGTTTTCTTGTAATTTAAGTTTAAATGTAAATTTCTTCACTTTTAAATTTCAACCTTCGTGTGTTAAGTTGATTTGTATTGAAATGAGACGAGATAGAAAAAAAAGTTTAATATAAAAAGTTGGCGTATTTCTTAATCTTTAAATTGATATAGGTTTTACGTATTTTAATTGGAGCCAGTTGACAGAATCAGTCCGAAAACGGGAGGCGGCGTCGGGCGCAAGAGCGCTCGCGGCGCGGATCCGCGAGAATAGTTAGTCAAGTCAACCTGTGTTTTTAGGGAGGGGAAATTAGTAAAAAGCTGATTTTTTGCCCATCGACTACTACCATTTAGAAAAGAGTTTAGACAAAAGTCCCCGCCCCTACCCCTCTTGCTTCCCCCCCTGTGCCCCCCTAAACATATAAAGTGTAAGGGTTTCGTAAATCACGTTTTTCTCGATTGTTAAACGACATATTAAATTGCAATTAGTTTTATTGTCTTTGTTATAAAATTTCCTACAATCATGTTCAGTTAACTTTCGTTGTAGCTGTTATCTTTTGTTCATTATTTGTATACAAATGTAAAGATTTATATATTTTTGAACATATCATTTTATTTTTGTTGCCTTAACTTTTTCCTTGGATCATTGTAATACTGTGTGCCATTGCGGCATAGGAAATAACATTTTGGGTTAGAACACGATCACTTTTTAGCCAATATCTACTCAGATGAAATTCCAACCATTCCACCCCAATTAATCAAGATTGCTTCTTAACCTTCCAGAGGCCGCATCACGGAAGTAACCTCCAGGGATGTTTTATTTTACACGATTATATTATTTTGAGTGGTGTCGGCAGTGTGATTGTCACTGTACCTCACGCACCTCATTCCTAGAATCGGGTGAAGGTCAAAACTCACCCCTACTATTTTATATTTGTTAGTTTTGTTCAGTTTTGTAAGAGGCTGGAAGTAGCTTCCGTGTGCGCCCTGCCGATTCTCGTACAGTCTTGAGGCAACTTCCGTGTGCGACCTCTAGTGTAGTGTGTGCGTTGATTATTGAGTGTAAATAATAATTTTTTTACGATTCATGACATTATTTAATAAATATATAGTTTTTAAACAATGAGTGAAGAAGTTAAATTTCAAACTGCAACACTCTTAGCCAGTGCTGAAAGGAAGATTCACAAACGACGTATGTACAGAGTAATTTAGTATTAAGATACCCATTATATTAATTTACTTAAAACATCAGGTATTGTGAGTGCTATTATCTAGAACCGCATTATAGGACATTGTGGTGAAAATTAAAATGAACTTCTTGAATATATTCTTGTAAAAGATTTCTTCATATACTTTTATGTTAGAACATTAGATAGAATAGTAGTTTAATTTTATATTTATATTTATAAAATGTAATTAAGTTATTTTATAATTAAGAGTTCACTAAACACATTTTTGATGTTTAAAATTAAAAATAAAACTTAATTTTTGCACTAAAATACAAATTTTACTTCATAAATGTTTGCTTTTATTGACCTGGAAGTAACCTCCAGGTGCGCCCTCTCCCGTTTTAAAAACCAATGCTGACCCCCTGAAAGGTTAACATGGAACTTAATGTTTCAGTGTGTTGGAACTGACCGCAACATCCCTGACATTGTCCTAGATACAAGAATAAACACACTTTTCCGTCTACTCAGGTTTTATCACAAAGACTTTGAAACTATATCAATAAAAGCAGAAAGTGAGTTTTCAGAAAAGTTGAACCAGATATTTGAAACATATCTGCCAATTCTGCAATATTCTAGCAATATTTTTGGCAACATTACTACTTTCAATTTACCAAAGGTATGTAGCATACTATTCTTTTTTACATTAGGTTAATTCTTAAGCTAAAATATTTCAAACACATTTCAGGCAAGAGTTTCAAAACACTAGCATTTCTTACCAAAGAGTAAGATTTTAGAGTTCATGCATAAACAAAGATTAATAAATTCAACATGTACAGTTTATTTTTACTTTATGTTCAAAATGCTATCATTCAAAACTCCTAGTCAGAATTGTCTTTAAACACATTTTTATTAACTTTACACTTAAAATATAAGAATAATAATTCATGTCCTGACAACACCTTATTGCAAGATATTTTGTTGACGTTTTATCAGGAGTATTTATACCACTTGACATATTTTATGGTTTGTTTTCAGAGTGCCAGTAGCGTATTTTTGGAAGCTATGCAGATACTACAGTGTTTTCAAGACAAGGAAGGTGTCATGGGTGGAGCTTTACTATACCAAAACAAGTTAGTTAAATTTTGTTTTTTAATACTGGATCCCTCAAGTTGTCTTGCCATCACATTAATTGATTGAAAATTTTAGTTCTACAACATAATCTTCTACAACTGTTTTAATCACTGTAGAAGGTATTGCCTCCAAATAGATTTCTTGAAAGAAATGCAACTTGTTTAAGAAGAAGGACAAGACAGACAACCTATTAAGGAGCAAAAGTGATTAGGTACAAATTTTTGTAATAAAAAAAAAATTGGCCTAAACTTGCTATTAATTTGGAACTTAAAGCTGTGTAATTTTACGAGGCAACCAGAAAATGACATCTGAAAATTTCATAGTGGTATCTGAAAACATGATAAACAAACCAAAGTAGACAATGTACTTGCATGTCTGGCTCAGTCTTCATGTTTTGATATCTATCAGGCACACAGGGCCGATTTTGACCCTGTCAGCGTCCTAGGCAAAACGAAAAAAGGCCCCGTTTGCAATAGATTATACAGGGTGGCTGAAAAGTAATTTGCACTCCCCCCCCCCCTTAACTTTTGACCCTTTTGAGATATTTGAAATTGGTTTGCGGCAAACTTCTTAGAAATGAGGGGCTACAATAATTATGGTAAATTTTGAAAATTTTGCCCTTAGGGGTTGTGGGGGTAGGGGGTAGCTCAAAATTTTCAAATGACAAGTATAGTCGAGTTTGGTATCATTTTACAGGTCTTGACGAAACATAACAATTGACATAAAGAAAACCAAAATCGGCCCACTAATAACAAAATGGCGCCCTAAAACGTTTCAAATCCATATAACCATGAGGGTTGCTGAAAATTAACTTGCACCCCCTTTAACTTTTTTACTATTTGAGATATTTGAAATCGGTTTGCGGCAACTTGTTTGGATATGAAGGGCCACAATAGTATAGTCAGTTTTGAAAATTTTGCCCTTAGGGGGTAGCGGGGGTAGGGGGTAGCTCAAAATTTTCAAATAGCAAGTATAGTCTAGAGTATAGAGTTTGGTATCATTTTGCAGGTCTAGACAAATCATAACAATTAACATAAAGAAAATACAAATTGGACCATAAATAAACAAAATGGCAGTTCAAAATTACCTTTAATGACCATTGTCTTAATCATTTTTAGCTGCAATGCTTTATGTTAATTGTTATGTTTCGTCAAGACCTGCAAAATGATACCAAACTCGACTATACTTGCTATTTGAAAATTTTGAGCTACCCCCTACTTCCGCTACCCCTAAGGGCAACATTTTCAAAACTGACCATAATTATTGTAGCCCTTCATATCCAAACAAGTTGCTGCAAACCGATTTCAAATATCTCAAATAGTAAAAAAGTTAAAGGGGGTGCAAGTTACTTTTCAGCCATCCTGTATATACAACAGAGTGTCCACAGACCGGGAATTATGCATGAATTTTTTTTTTATTGGGAATTATGCGCGAATTGTGTATTTCTACCTGGAATTATCAATTTAAACGCGATCGCGCATGACAACTGTGACATTTCTGTGACCGTAAGATACAATAAAATGTCTACACACGGCCACGAGGGATGATCAGAATATTGCTGCGATCGCGGAAGATGATGATGATCTCCACACGACTGCAGAATATGATAAACATTTTGCCATAATTGCAAGAGACGATCACGATGTCTACAGGACCGCTGCAGATACAATAATCATGTCTAGAAGGCCATAAGGGATGATCAGAATTATGAAGCGATCAAGCAAGACGTTGATAATGTTTCACACAACCGCGGGAAAAGGTCAGAATTTTGCCTCATTCGCGCAAGACGATGGTGATCTTCACACGACCGCGGGACTCCGGGGATAATTACCACTTTGCCGCAATCGCATGAGACGATTACTATGTCCACACAACTGCGGGAGACGATATAATCATGTCTTCACGGCTGCGAAGTATGATCAAAATTTTATCGCGTTTGTGCAAGACAATGTTAATGTCCACACGATCGGGGGAAAAGATCTGAATTTTGCCTCATTCCTTGTAAACGATGATAATCTACTCAACACCACAGGACATTTTCATATTTTGCCACGATCTTATGTCTTATGTCTTAAGACGATAATTATGTGTACACTACCGCGGAAAATTGTCAGAATTTTGCCGTGATCGCGAGAGATGATGATGATGTTTACATGACCATGAGGGATTATCAGAAGTTTGTCACAATAGCATTCAAATACAACCACATTTTTTTTATTTTCAAATTTTTTGGGGCCTCCCCCAGTGGCGTAACAGATTTTTACGGGCCTCCCTACAAACTTATTTTTTGGGCCCCCCTCTTATGAGTTATTTTTGGACCAACCTGTACAATGATTAAACAGATTAATCATAAATAGAGTAGTAAATAAATTATAGGTTATGTTCCTTAAAAGGGTGTGTTAAGTATTTCAGTCATGGTTTGATGAAAGAGTTACATCACTACATCATTATATCAATAACAGGGTTTGTAAATAGTTTTTAAATAAAATTAAAAATACCTTAATCAGTATCAGAATGTTTATATCAAGGAGAATTTACATTTAATTTATCACACATGTTATCCATTTTTACTATCCTGATAATTCGACTAATTGATTAATTACAAGGCAAAAATGTGGTTCGGATTCCACTATAAACTGCATGTCCCTTAGTTGCCATTGGCTATATTGGCTATTAATTAACAGCTGTATCTAAGGAATATGTCGGCCTTAGTCACTATCATTGACTATATATACCTACAGAAGACATCCCAGGCTTATGGACCGGTAGTAGTGTGAGCCAGGTCTCGGGAGCAAGTAGTTGATGTAAGCTGCCGGTAGGCGCGCGATAGTAGGCTATCTGCGCTCTCTCTCGCACATTCCCCCCTCCCCCCGCGGCCTACTCTGCATCGCTCTCACTTGTACATTCCTTCTCTCTTTGTCTCGCTTCCCCACCGACCACGTGTGCACGTGACTGACACTGCTACACTGCTACGCTACACTACAAACTACATTACAACTGCTTGGACAATGAATACAAGCTGGCGCTCGTCAAACCCTACGTTAATGTAGGCCTAGCTCACGATGATAATATTAGCATGTGTGTTGCGCGATTATGTGGTACGGGAACATATGATATGATGTGAACGAGTACTCTATAAATAAAGGCACAATTAATATGTTGCGCAAACATATTGAGTAATCGTGATATTTTCAGTAAGTTAATTGATTTGAGTTTGGTTAAGATATACAAACTTCAATTTAAAATAACAGCTTAAAACCTCTAAAAATTAGACAAACATTGTCATACAGCAATAAATCATAATGAAAAAACCTACTCTTGTTAGCTTCTGCTAGTTATCATTGGCTACCGGAACGTGCTGTTTCAAAACAGATGCATTTTGGTGATAATAAAATTATAACTGCCATACATGTTACCGTAATTATAAATAAATAATTTTTAAACCGATAAAACACTTAAATCCTACTATACTGTATATACAGGGTGCCCCATAAGTAAACAGCCAAACTCCGGGAAATGGTTCTATGGGTCAACAAAAAAAGAAAATCAAGAGTACATTTTTTCCAAAATCGCTTCGTTAACTAGATATCCACCATTTTGTATTTTTACATAAACATTTTTATTTTTGGACTTTTTCAACCGATCGTTATTAAACTTGGTATGTAAGTTAAGGTAGAAGAGCCCCGTGTTAAAAAATACAACTTGTGTGTCAACAAGTGTTGATTCAACTTAAAATTTCAAAATGGCGGCCATTTTAATTGTTTAAACTTATATGTCTAAAATGAGCCGTTTTGTTCATTATATGATTTATTGCTGTATGACAATGTTTGTTTTATTTTTAGAGTTTGTTAGATCTCATTTTAAATATTGAGGTTTGTATATATTAACCAAACTCAAATCAATTGCAGAACATACCTAAAATATCATGATTACTTAATATGTTTGCTCAACATTGTTATCTTCATTTTTTGAGGTGTTGCCTTCCGGATAATTTTAAACGAGATATAAGGAACATCTACCGAAATCTTCCATCCACAAACCCAATTCCGTATTTAGATCATTTGACTAATTATAACCACGACGTCTCAAATATTGACAAAACCATCGATGTATTGCATTTTTTATAAAAATAGAAGTCGTTTTCTAGATACAATTGAAGCGTTTGACATTTTCATCGCCGGCAAAAATCCTCAACACGTTCTCAACAAAAAAACGTCGTTTGAGTCAGCCATAATTTTCAAAGCTGCCTCATTCATAGAAAGATTATCAGAAGACAATGGAGCTGATAACAATACGAGGGGTAGGAGGGGAGGGGAAGGACACGGCGACGGTCGGTCTTGACCTACACCCTGTACCTGCAGCCGTGCCATAATCATTAGTGTTTTGTTTGTTCAAATGTTTGTTTGGGTCCGTGTTTATGTTTTGACGACTTCTTGACGACCTCCTAGTATAGGAGCAACAATTCGTCTTAGGCTTGACAATGACACCTTGGGTGTCGAAACCGGTTACTAAGCAGACGACCAATGGATTACGTTGGCACAAAAAAGTATTTAACCTCTAGGATATACTGTTGTTTTATTGATGTAAAAGTACAAATGGAGACAGTAATGTTTAATGTTGTTTTCATGCGTTTGTTATACAATTAATTACCACACATATTGGATTAACTGAGAACTCAAATGCAAATAAAGGGAGCTCAACTTTTATTTAATTAATTAAAGCATTACCCTTAATTAATATAAGTACTCGTTCACATCATAAAATATGTCCCCATACTACATAATCGCGCAACACACATGCATTAATGTTATACTAGTGTACCTGTTGCTCGAATTCAAGCTATTGTTAAGTATTACAGGCGTTATTTTTAACAGTCTTAATTTCTGATGACTTTTAAAGATTCAACTCAAAGATTATGGAAATACTCAAGATGTACATAACAGATCGATATAATCAACATTTTTTTGTAAATACCGTATCTTATTGAGCGGAGCGAGCGAAGCTCTTATACGTCGACTCTTATGCATTTCGTAATACGCAAACTCCTCCTAGACGGCTGAATCAATCGTTTTCAAATTTTGCATCGTGATAAAGACCATATCGGTGAGTGCCAACATCTATATAGCGTTAAAAAAGTCTCTCAGGAATCCGCCCCACTGGGTCTCAAAGTTTCAATGTAATCCTAATGGAAGCAGACACATAAACAAAAACATATGATCAGCTGTTGACTTTTGAATGCAGTAGATAAAGAAATAGCTAATAGCATTACTCCACAGATATTAGAACAGAAACAGTATGGATCATAAATATAATCAAATGACGACACTAGATTAAGGTCCGTGACGTAGGAAGTGGTGAAGGAAGTAGTAAAGGTGAACAGTCTGGAGCGTGGAAACTGTTTATGACGATTAGATTTAGGTATCTGCATTCCTAAAATTCTATGGGAAGGCCGGAAAACGGGTCCGCGACGTAGGAAGTGGTGAAGGAAGTAGTTAAGGCGAGCTGTCCGGAGTGTGGGAACTGTTTATGACGATTAGATTAAGGTATCTGCATTCCTAAAATTATATGGGAAGGGAGGAAAACGGGTCCGCGACGTAGGAAGTGGTGAAGGAAGTAGTCAAGGCGAGCTGTTCGGGGTATGGGATCTGTTTATGACCATTGGATTAAGGTATTTGCAATCCTAAAATGCTATAGGAAGGGAGGAAAACAGGTCCGCGACGTAGGAGGTGGTGAAGGGAAAACTGTTTGTGACGATTAGATTAAGGTATCTACAAACCTAAAATGCTATGGGAAGGGAGGAAAACAGGTCCGTGACGTAGGAACTGGTGAATGAAGTAGTAAAGGCGAGTTGTCCGGAGTGTGGGTTCTGTTTATGACCAATAGATTAAGGTATTTTCAATCCAATAATGCTAAGGGAAGGGAGGTAAACCGGTCCGTGACGTAAGAAGTGGTGAATGAAGTAGTAAATGCGAGCTCTCCGGAGTGTGGGGACTGTTTGTGGCAATTAGATTAACGTATCTAAAATACCAAAATGCTATGAAAAGTGGTGAAAACAGGTCCACGATGTAGGAAGTGGCTTAGGAAGTAGTAAATTATGAGCATAGTGTGAGAACCGTCTATGGCAGTTAGATTAATGTATCTTCAATCCTAAAATGCTATGAGAAGGGAAGGAAACAGGCCTCACGACGTAGGAAGTGGTGATGGAGGTAGTAAAGGCTGACAGTGCAGAGTGGGGGAACCATTTGGGCAGTTAGATAAATGTATATAATACTTAAATGCTATGAGAAGGGAAGGAAACAGGTCTATGACGTAGGAAATTGTGAAGGAAGTAGTAAGGCTTGCAGTGCAGAGTGTGGGAACTGTCTTTGGCAATTACATTAATGTATCTGCAATCCTAAAATGCTATGGGAAGAGAGGGAAACAGGTCCACGACGTAGGGGGTGGTGAAGGAAGTAGCTAGTAAAGGTGAGCAGTGTTGAGTGTGGGAATGGATTAATGTATCTGCAATGCTAAAATGCTGTGGGAAGAGACTGTAGACTGTAGGTTAAAATGATTACGAAGCACGAATCGATAGGTACATATTTCGATACATGTAATTGTTTACAATAGAAATTTAAAACTGAGTTGACAACAGCAGATTTTTACTCCATAGAGGCTAAAAAAGATTTTTACTCCCTAAAGAGTAAAAATGCTACTTTAGAACCGCAACGCATGCATTAAAAAAACGACTGTTTTTACTGCAGTATGACAAAAACAATATAATATGAACCCTTGACTCCGCTCAATTTTGTGGATGCCTCTGCGAACGCCACCTAGTCATATTTCAAAAGCTGATCTTGTTTTTTAATGTTTTCTACAAATATATGTGTCTGTTAGCGCGATAACTCGAGCAAAAATGATCCGATTTTGATGAAATTTGGTATAAACGTGTAAACCTACATTTATTCAAACGAGTTCGCGAACCAGCATGATCGAACTACGGGAACAGGGTTTTATGGGGTAAAAATGGGGTTTTCTCATTTTTTGCCCTGAAAACATAAAGTTTTGCAATTTCTTTCCAAACCATTTTGTAGAGCTCAAAAATACAAATAATTTTGTACATTGAAGCATTTTTGGTTACGGCAAAAATCGCAAAATAGTGTAAATTTAAAATTACCATGCTATTCTTATCAATTTTAGGCCCTTGCTTATTTATTATTTACGTTAATGACATTTGCAATAGTACAAAAATGAGTATTTTTCAATATGCAGATGACACTGCTCTCATCTGCAAAGGCATAACCGACGAGCCGATGCATCTCATTATCACCAAAGAGCTTCAATCGCTTCAGAACTGTTTTTCAGTAAATGGGCTTTCAATGAATATGTCAAAGACACAATTAATACAGTTTTCACCCTCTAGTTTAAGTTCAAATATTTCAGTAAATTGTAACTCGTCTCTTATTCACACTGAAAACTCTGTAGACTACCTTGGAATAGCTCTTGATTCAAATCTTAATTGGCACCAACAAATTAAAAATGTTTCAAAATGACTAGTCTCTGCCACATTTGTTATTCGTGTAATTAGATATACCACAAATTTAGAAACACAATTAATGACATATCACGCTTATTTTTCTTCTATTATGAACTATGGATTAATTGTTTGGGGATCTTCCTGTCAGGCTAAAAAATATTTACTCTTCAAAAAAGAGCTATCAGACTGATCGCAAGAGTTCCTAAGACTGCACACTGTAAAGACTTGTTCATATTATTTAAAATTTTAACCTTATACAGTTCATATATTTATCAACTCGCTTTAATGGTGAAGGGTGATATAGGATTATTCATGGATAGCCAACAAAACCATTCTCATAACACGAGATTTAAAAATTTAATCAAACCGGTTCAACATAGGCTTCAACTGTTCCACCTCTCCCCTCAATATATGGGACCACAAATTTACAACAAATTACCCACGTTCATTAAAAACACAGAGTCTGTAGCTAGCTTAAAAAAAACCTTGAAAAAATGGTTATTGGAGAAGGCTTTTTACAGTGTTGATGAATTCTTATCAGAGCAAAAATAGATTTTAATTTTCTCATTTTTAATTTTAGTCTACTTTTAGTATTAATTAAGACTTATGGACAAATCACTTGTCAATTAATTTGATGTAATGTGATGATTGATAATAAATAAAAATATAAAAAAATTACCACTTTTATTTTTCCATTTAGGATTTTTTTTTCTTTTTCCCAACAGGTTTTTCTTTCTTATTTGTTTTTATTCTTTTCCCCTACCAAGTTTTGCTTTAGTTTTCATTATGTTAGTAACTGCCCAGGCGGCAGCTCTCTCACCAGTACTTGAGTCTGAAGCTTTTACCCTTTCCCAAGCTAATAAGCTGTCAGCCACTGATCTAATTTTACTATCCTTCGATCTTGAGTATGCTATATTGTGGTTTTTGCGTGCAGCATCCAATTTATTTATGACTGGATCACCCGTTGCTTATCTCTTCAGACACAGGGTAGAACTTCACATACCCAGCTATCAGTACTGTGGACCTGGAACGAATATAAGGAAGAGATTAACAAGAGGTGATCCAGGCATAAATAAATTGGATGCTGCATGCAAAAACCACGATATAGCATACTCAAGATCGAACTATAGTAAAATATACACAGATACCCTTTTGGTGGTCGTGCAAACTTAGCACAAAGTTTCATTTTATGATTTTGAAAAGTTTTAGTGTCCCCAAAAAATGAGGGATTATGGGCTCAACTGGAGATTACTTTATATATAAGATATATTAACCTTTAACATTACCAATTTAATTTCAAACAGTATGATTTAAATTGGCATTCTGTTAGTTAGGTTTTTTTTAACCCGCCTTTTGACAGTGTGTGGGTCTGGATCCGGATCCGAATTTTTCAAGATCCGGATCCGGTACCGACATTTTCTTGGATCCGCCCATCACTAATTTTTAATTTGGGTTATGTTATAAAAAAACACCATGTAGGTATAAAAAAAACCCTGCTAGAAGAGTTTAAGCACAGATTTTTGTATTTTCAGAGTAGTTGCTTCACAACTGAGTGCAAAACTAACAAAACTCCTAGTCATCTCTGATCCTTATAGAATAAAGGTAAGCTGTTTATGTATTTTAAAATAGTTTATAGGTATAATTTAAAAAAATCACTTAACTCCTATATTAGTTAATTTGACAGGTTTTGATGTAATCTGACTTAAGTTGATTAACACCTATATAGTAAAGATTTTCTTTTAAAACCCTTTCCGCTCAAGTGGCGGGGAGCCCCGCCGTGCATCATGGTCGCACAAACTCTAATGTCGGGCCAGGCCCGCCGTAGATATGACAACGTACTGTGCTTGTATTTGGACAAACATAGATATTTTATTTCACCACTAGGGTTGATGTTTGACATCTGCTGCCATCTGGGGAATTTTTTCAGAACCGTTTGAACACATATTCAATGCTCAATTTAATCTTAGAACTTATGTTAGTCGTCTTGGCTCGTTAGCTGAACTGAACTGCTGTCTGTAGCGGCAGCTGACTGACTGCACGGCAGCTGTTTACTAAATGTTGCTTGGTTTGTTTACTACCGAATGTAGTTGTTATTACCGAATTGCGTGCTTTACTTTTACTTTTCATTATTGTTTACATACAATCAGATATTTTCAGTTAGTTGTTTGTTTTCGTGTTTTACTTAACTGTTATGATTTGAGTTAGTTCTTGTCACGTAAGCCTATAAAATGGATGATTCGTTGCTAAATCCCAAAATTGCTGATGGAACAAATAATATAAGTGATTCTGATATAGCTGGTTTGTTGTTTGAAGACGATTTATTATCAAATAGCAGTTCAGATCCAACCGATCCAGAAGTAGACAACCGACAAAAATAGTGATGAAGATGGTGATAATAGTGATCCCGATTTGCCTGTTGAACATATTGATCCATTTTATCTTCAAGATGATATAAACTTTGGGACATTAGATGGACCTGGAATACATAATGTAAGTACCGACTTGCCTGTTGAACATATTGATGATCCATATTTTCAACAATACATAATGTAAGTATCGGTGGGCCTACCGAATTACCTGTAATTAGAGATGGGCTAAATGATTCCATCGATGTAGCCGCTACAATGATTCCAGCTACACTCGTGGACTCATTACAAGTAACCGTTCCGATTCCAAACGATTACTTCGTTACCGCCGTTACAGAGTAGCCGCAATCGACCGATTGCACTCGTAATCGTCATGGTATTGATACTCCGATGTATTCCAGTTACAGTAACGCCTTTTGAATCAAAGTTTACTGAAGCCAAATAAATATTTGTTTGGGTTTGTATCGCAATAAATACAATTTAAATGAGTTTCCAATATATAGTATTCATGAATTATTAATCATCAATCAATCATCTAATCTATCATTAATTAATTTAAATTTGTATATTATTACACAAATTTATACAATCAATTACTGTAGCAATTTGTAACAATTAAATCATTCTAAGGAAGGTTAGAATAAACAAAACTACGAGATATGTTTTTGCACATTGTAATCAACACAATTTTAACTAACATTATTTTCAAATCATACTGGATTTCTCATTCAAAAATATCAACTGTTCACCCACGGGTGCGAGGCGGCGGCAGAGTTAATTAAGCGGAGCGAAGCGAAGCTCTTTGGGATCAACTTCAATGCAATATTTATAAGTGTTGGACTGGACTGTGAAATGGGGTTATCTCGCTTGTCAAGCAAGCTGGTAGCTGGACTCATTTACGGAATCGAAACGGCATGGAATCATCTTCTCTAAACGATTCCAGATACATCGATTTGCTACTATAACAAAGCAATCGGAACCGGTACTCTGATACTTGAGTAACAATTACTTTAGCACCAACCATGTAACGATTACAAAGTAACGATTCCAGTACTTCATTCCCACCTCTACCTGTAATTGCTTGTAGTGCACTAAACTTGCAACAGGTAGACATTTGCATGGATCGAGAAAAACTAAAGTCTCAAAACCAAAAAGAAGTCTAGTCTTAGCACTCAGGGTAAAAGGTCTCGGCCTAGGCCTATCCAAACCGAGAACAAGCCTAATGAAGATCATAACTATGGGACTTACACAAATACTGACCAAGATTTTCCCCATTTCCCTTACACTTTGGAATCTGGCTACAAACCACCAATAGGCTACAAACCTAATAGCCCATTACAGTTTTTTCAACTGTTTATGACAGATGAACTTTTAGAAACAGAAACTATTGTTACTGAGACAAATAAACAATGCTAAGGTTGTCATTTCTAATGAGAGGCTGTTGCAAAAAAATTCAATCTGGCACTCATAGACTGATGTAACGTTAGAGGAGATAAGAGCATTCATCGGAGTGGTCCTAAACATGGGACTCAATACTAAACCCTCGCTTCAAGACTTTGCTCAAGATTGGCTTTATAATCAACCATTCTTTAGCCAGGTATTTTCCAGGAAAAGCTTTTCCAAATATTTTGGACTTGAAAGTGTTCGAGTACCGGTGGTACCTACCGGTAACCGGAACCGGATGTTCGGTGGTAACCGGATCACGAGGGGACAAGCTAAAAAATATAATTGCTTACCTTCAGACTAAGTTTACAGAGTACATTGTACCTCCATCCATCTGAGATTTCTATGGAAGAAAGTACTATTTCGTTCAAAGGTACTTCACGCAGTACAACCCCAAAAAAGCCGATTAAAGGGGGTCTAAAGGTTTTTGTAGTATCTGATGCCAGGCCAGGATACATTTTCACGTTTGAGATCTTACCTTATCCTGACTTGCAATTCACAACCAAAATTGTTTTGCTGTTGGCACAAAGAGTGAGGCAAGTATGTGGGCCAGATTGCGGTTTCCACATATATACTGACCGATTGTATACAAGTTTGTCATTAGCTAAAGAGTTTCTAAAGATATAAATGCATCTTACTGGTACAGTCAATTCAAATAGACAAGGTAATCCCAGTCATGTAAATAAGAAAAGGCTAAAGGGTCTTTTGAAGAAACTTGAGACAGCAGCCTACCGTCACAAAGACAATGTTTTGGTGTTAATGTGGCGGGACCAGAGACATGTCATCATGATGAGTTTGTGTCATAACTGTGATATGCAATTGGTGAAAAGAAGAGAAAAAGGAAGAAAAAGAGATGAAATTGTCTCCAAACCAGTTGTTGTATGTGATTACAATGAGAGAATAGGAGGAGTCGACACTGCCGACCATTACATATCGTCCTACATGTTTGTTCGGAAATCTAAAGTGTGGTGGAGAAACTGTGGTTCTGGCTTATGGAAGTATGTGTTGTCAACAGTCTCCTTCTATACAACATGGACTCCCATCGATTCAAAGAGATTTAGGGAAATGCTGATCACTGAACTTGTTTCTGGTGTACGTAACAAATCTTATTCTCAGCGAGGTCGTCCTTCTTCGGCTGACCAAGAAGATAGGTTAGATAAAAAACCTTATTTTATTTATGCCAATGAAAAAAGCAACAGCAAAAAGTGCGCTGTTTGCAGCAACAGGAAAGCTGGACAGAGAAAAGAAACAGTGCATTTCTGTGCAAGAAAACCAGGCCTTCACCCAGGGCAGTGCTTTAAATGCTACCATACCCTGAAAAACTATAAGGTGTAATGAGGTAGGTCTATTTCATTGACAAAAACACTGTTTCAATCCTTATATAAGTTGTGTTCATTTTATGTTATTATTATTTTAGGCCTATTCTTGCTTCTGATTGAATTGTAGTAGTGTACAAGCGATATAAAATATTTAGTTCTTGTTTATTTATGTTTTTTTAGGTAATACAGTTTTGAAGAAAAAAATACTTATTACTATTTTCAACATAAATATTTAGTTTCTAAGCAACAGCAAAATTAAGTTAGCCTATAATGATATTTAGTTGCTACAAAAACTGAAATTTTCACTAAAACCATTTTTTTTACAAAAATTCCTATTTTTTAATAAAATTTTTTTCACACATAAAATTGTGTCTTTTAATTATGTAAATCACTTCAATATATATTGTATAAGGACATACACAATGTAAATAAATCACTTTTATACTCTTATTTCTATAAAAAATCTATCAAAAATCTTGTTATTCCAGTTTAAAAAAAATTGTTTGATGAGTTATGTATAATAATTTTTTTTAAATTATAAATACTGGTTTCTTTACCTAAATATGATCTTTGAGTCATACAGAATTAGGAAAAAAATTACTAGCATTCTACAAATAAAGACAGTATTTATTTTTTGGCAAATAAATGAAGTGTGCAAATTTAGCTAAAATTAAATGGAGCTGGTGAGTAAATAGGCCTTCCGTTAATTTGAGTGGACAAGAATACAGCTTTAAAATGCTTTAACAATTTGCTTATTACCATGGCAATGAATTTATTTATTCATTGGTACTTTTATGTCATGCATAAGAGTTCAAATGAAACACAATCTGGAAGTCTAGTTGATTTACCCAGCAGCTAGGTAAATCACACGACGGAGGTTTACTTTCAAATTGTACAACACTTTTGGTTTATCGGCATAGACTAGTTACTTTACGTATGCCCTTAAAACTGCCGGATTTGGAGTGAAGAAAATACAATGAAGAACCTTTTATTAACGCCGGTGCATCCATTAAAAGTCACTGGTATAAATTGTAGGTTAGTGGGATCATTAGCCCTTTTTAGCGAATTTCCCATATAGGGAATAAGCTATTACCGTAGGTCTCATGGTAAGACTTAGTCCTGGGACCGATTTACTTTTTCATTTTGATGTCCCTAGAAGCCAAAACACCATCCGTTCAAATTCATATATATATATATATTTATATATACAAATAAGTAAAATAATAAAAACCAGAGTACCCTGAAATTCATTTTTATTCAACTAATACGTATTTCAGCACTAAGGCCATGGTCACAGTATTATAAAAGTACGTAAACAAACAAATAAATAAATAGTTAATAACATGTTTTGAATGCATAGTAAATTTCGATTAAATGGTTAGGTGTATTTTTTTAACATGTGAATGTATAAGATTCTTCCCTGATTTGTCTGATTTTTTCATGAATTGGATTTTGTTTTAGCGAATTTCCCATA